TCGAAGGACATGGAAGCTAGTATTGCCACTACAACAAAGCTTGAAGAACCACATGTTTAAAACGCCTTCCCAGCACTCGTTCTTGTTTTGAAATCGAGGGTCCATGATAAGAAACGTGAGATCCGCATATCCTGATGTAGTCGGTTCCACCTCAGATCATCCCAAGACTGTGCACTGAGAATGGATTGCAAATCTGCTTTCGCAAGCAAACGCTTCCCTGCTCTCAAGCCAATGTGAGTTTGCAAAATTGATCCTCCTAGCCCTTTGATTCCGTGGCTGTTGCTTGCATGAGCCCACACTCATGTCAATGTATGTTGATGTATGAACATCACAATCACAAGTCAGATGTAGAAACAAACAACTGTTCTTAGCAGGCAGACGCACGGGTGGCGTTGAGTGCTCGCAGGCTGTAAAGCCTGTAGCTTGGCAAGCCCTTGTTGATTTGCTCTCTGGTCAGTGCTTCGGATGCCTGGTGATGTTGGATCTTGATCTTGAAATGAACATGCAGCGAGGATGACATCTAAATGAGACGCTCGTCTGGGCGAGAGAGGAGAAGTCATAGTTACGCTGAGCTGTTTGGGGTTCCCTCCGGCTGTCATGGACATAAACTCGGAGAAGAAGAAAATACCATGAAGACACAAGACCATGAAGTCGATTGCTTTGGCAAAAACGGCCGGTGCCAGGCTGGTGCCATCACCTCAGCGACAGTGACACCCCCGAAGTCAGAAAGGGGGCTCTTAGCCAGAGCAGCAGAGAGGAACGTAAATCAACCGAACCGCAACGCTGGCCCCCGTTTTATGACCAAGCTGCCACCACCGGGCTCCTCGTCCCTTCGACGGCAGGCGATGTTCGGCAGATCAGCCGCCTGGTGGACGAGGCGGAGAAGTTGCCATGGCCAGACAAGAAAGAGCTTGGCTGCGGATCCCCAGCGGAGCGCGGTGGAGAGGGGCTGTTCTTTTTTGGTGGTGCAGTGCGACAAGAGAAGGTGATGGGAGGTGATGGTTCTTAGAAGGATGAATCTGTGATTGGGTGGGGGGTGCTAGTTTCAATTGGAGGTTTTTGTAAGCAACCTCCCAAAGACGAGACTGGATGTAACGCTCTGAAAACTCCTGAAAGCACGTTGAGGTTGATGGAAGAAGTTTATTCCCTGCTTTGGAGAGATCCGCAGTACAAGTCTGTGAGTTCTTTCAGAAAGCAAATGGGCTTTGGAATGGGATATGCAGAGGTTTTCAAGGAATCAAGTAGATCCAAGGCATTCTCAAACGATTTCACAACTTCACAACTCTATCCAGTTGATTCCCTCAACTACTTCATTGGAACAAGCCTGCAAAATTCTGCACCCAGAATCCCCGGAGCCGCGGGGGTTTTTGGCGCCGCGCCTTTTTGCCGAACTCATGGGACCAGCCTGTTCTTGACGGGTCATGGGATACACCCACCCAAGAGAACTGGACGCTCAGCGAGAACCAGCCGGACCCAGGTGACGTTTACGCTGTGGCCATGAACGCCATTGGACCTCTGCCATTGCAGACGGCCCCCGAGGAGTACGGCGAGTGGGGGCACCCCAGGAGTAAAGCGACCTTTTGCAAGTGAGCCTGGTGCTCCTGTACGTTTCGGACATTCATTGGGAACATAGACATTCCATGTCTCGTTGATGATCCCTTCCGCACTGAACCTACCAATCCCCGCCCCTCCACCCCTCCTTTCCCTCCTTTGCCAAGCACCAAACGCTGGGACCAGAGTGTGCGCAGGGGATCCCTTTGCTCCAACTGCCACCCAAATGTGGGAGTTGGATGGCATCGCTCCGAACAGTTGGATGGCCAAGCTGGCCTTTCTTTTGGCCGCCCGGGGTGCCGAAGGGACGACCCCTCCAACCGCCCTGGACGCTCCCAGCTTTGCCACTTCAGGCTCTGTGTCAAGAGACTCATGGTGCTCTGCCACGTGGACCCCGAGGTGCGCTCGCTCGGGGGCCGCCCAAGGGAGACGGAGAGCTCCATGACGAAGGGATGGACTGGCAGCGACGTCCCAGAGATGTTTGAGGGTTACACTCACACTCCCTGAAACCATCATGGAACGTTCACCACCTGTCATGGTATTTGGAGAATGCTCATCCTTTCAAGGGCGATTTTTCATCCACTTCCATGATGATTTCAGGGACTGTAGACCGAAATCGGTCTAACCCTTTCGGACCGATGCCACCCGTGAATGGTTGGTCCTCCCCCCCGGTGTGGCCCGCGCCCGCTGGGACTTCGCTTTCGTTTTCCCCGGACTCGGTCGGACGACATCCATCAAACAAGAAGCCGACACTGAAGGCCAAGCCTCGGGTTGCCCTCTGCATAGGACCAATCTCAGAATCACTTCATCTCGGAAGGAAGGAAGGAAGGAAGGAAGGAAGCAAGGGCCAAAGGAACAGGAAAAGGAAAAGGAACAGGAAAAGGAAAAGGAAGCAAGGGGAAAAGGAAAAGGAATAGGAAAAGGAAGGAAGGAAGGAAGGAAAAGGAAGGAAGGAAAAGGAAGGAAGGAAAAGGAAGGAAGGAAAAGGAAGGAAGGAAAAGGAAGGAAAAGGAAGGAAAAGGAAGGAAGGAAAAGGAAGGAAAGAAAAGGAAGGAAAAGGAAGGAAAAGGAAAAGGAAGGAAAATGAAGGAAAAGGAAGGAAAAGGAAGGAAAGGAAGGAAAAGGAAGGAAAAGGAAGGAAAAGGAAGGAAAAGGAA